GGAGGGAGAGTCACCCAGCAACGGTGAGGGGCGGCACTGCGCATGCGCCGGGGCTGAGGGGCGGCTCGGGCCTGCCAGGGGGGCCCCCCTCCCCTCCCCCCTCTTTTCCCGGGCCTCTCTGCGACCCTGACAGGCTGCAGGGGGCCTGCACCCCGCCTCGCAGGGGGCAGCTGCGGTGGGGGCGTGCTGGGGGGTCCAGACCCTTCAGGGGGTTACACCTGAGATCCCTCCCGCGTCCTCCCGTTTTTTTGCTCCCAAATCGCTGCTCCCGTCGCGCTGTCCTTCACTGGAGCCGTGAAGGGGCTGCATTCGGTGCCCAAAACGAGGAGAAGTGGCGGCGTTCAGAAAAGCGGTACGCCAGCTCCTCCTGCCCTGCGTTCCAGCTGCTCTCCCACGGAAAATGAAGGGAAACCCGACGCATTAAAGCAGCCGGACTTCGTTTCTGAGCAGTGCTCGCGGAGGAGGCAGTTGCCGCTCGAACGTGCGCCGAGGTTTTCTTGGCAGGTCGAAAAAGTGTTTACCTTCTCGAGGGCTTGTGAGAAAAATCTCGGGAGGCAAGTTGGGACGGCGGGCCTTTTGCCAGCGTGCCAGCAGTGCCTGCCGGTGCTTCGAAAGAAAAGCAAATAGCTGTATATCAGTTGGAGGGTGGAAAATTCAGGAATTGACCTGCTTTATATCTGGGCAATTGATAAATGACTTCAGTTTTTGTGCTCTTTGGATGTTTAAAAATGCATCCTAAATTCAGCGAGCAGTTGGAAGGTGCTTTGGCCCTTCGGCGAAGAATAAGGACGTTGGTAGGACAGGACCGAACCAAACCGGACCCTGCCGGGTTCTGTAAATGAAGGAAACACCAAGATTTTTCTGCCACCTAACTAGTTGGTCAAGTCTCTATATATGAATATTGACTACAGCCTTACTGCCCATGCTTAATGCACCTCCTAACCCCCCAGTATAAGGGTGTGCTGTTCCCTGTTATGTCGGGTCCCTTTTTAACGTCATTTAGGGAGCGTACCTTTTACACTAAATTGTGAGCTCTCTGTGGCAGGGGCCATGTATGTTTTCTGTGTTTGCACATTGTGTAGTACCTTGGGGTCCTGGTTTGTGCCCTGGAAAACTGAATCCTACAATAATGAAAATAAATCCAAAGATTGGGTGTATGAACAGGTCTTCCTCGCTGATGCCTGGAAAATTTGCTCGGTCATGTTAAGAGGAGCAATTAAATAGAGTCAGTGGTTTTTATAGCTGCTTCCAAGGAAGCCATCAGGGAGGAGCCCAGCAGATCTGGATGCCTTTTTTGTTTGGTCCTTGGGTGATAGCATCTAATTCCCATGTGCTCTAGAGAGGTTCATGTCTTAATAGCTCTGCCGCTCCATGTTCTGGTTTGGTTCTCTTCTGTTTTGTCTTATGTATGTTCTTATTTTTCTCTCGTAGGGCTTGAGCAACTTCCAGTTGCTCGTTAAATTAATGTGAAGTGACCTTCCGTTGTATGTGGTTTAATCTTTATGCAAACGGAAGATTCTGCAAATAGATTAGCCATTTTAATACGTGCTGTCATACTTTTTGCTATAACAGCTTGGTTCCTGTGGGATTTGCTTCTGTTTGAATGTGTAAGCATTTAATCTGGAATCAGATGCTGATAGCCCAGTAAGAGCAGTGCTTGCTTCTGAAGTTCGGAGGAAAGTGAGCGCAACCTACTGTGCTCTGGCTGGCCAGAAGTTTTCAAATTTGGACGTGTGAAGGAGCATGTCAGTATATTTTCCTGGAAAGGAGCTGTAGATGGAGGCAGAAGTGACATCCAAACAGAATTACTTAAATTCAGCACACAACGCCAAATAGGTTCTGCTGCCAGCTCACTGCACAGGCTGCTGAGATAAAACAGTTAGCTGTTAGCCCACCATTGAGTTACAAACTAATTGAAAGGCTACTGTACACTGTATTGTGGAGCACAGTATCCTGAAGAGTAACACATGTACACGTACATGTACCATAAAATAGATATTCATTATTACACCACAACAGGGTTTGTTATTTTATTAACACAACCAGAAAACAGTCTAGATACAGCAATGACAGGGTGCATTTTTAGCATTGCATTGCACCACCCACACGCTGAAAATAAAAGATGTATTCATTGTAACCAGCTTCTAGCTCACTTCTCTTTTTAGAACTGATCTACTCTCTGGTCCTAGGGAAATTAGCATGCAGTACAAACTGCGCAGAAAAATTAATCTGTGATTAAACTTGCGTAGATTCTCACAGACAATGTAAAAATCCAATCGGCTAAGATTCAAGTTCAATAACAGGTTAAGAATCCTGTTCGGAAACCTGAAACCAGTTCATGATTCTACTAAGACCTACTGGCTACGCTATGTTGCCACTTTGAAAGAAAGTGTAGAGAGAGAATTTGGAGGGCCTGTTAGAGAATGAAGCATTCACTTGGAAGCAGCCACAAAGCAGGGTTACCAAAAATTAGCTAATTTCTCATCAACTGAAATAGAATAGTTATTCTCAGTCAGAATTTGACTTCATGAGAACAGACATAAATCATTCAGCTGATTGCTTTTTAAAGTGGTGTACAACACCTCAACCCTCACCCTTTCACATGTTTCCAAACAGCATTTCTGCATAGGAGCTGAGGGAAATGGCAGAGGGTTGGTGTACTTCTTTCTAAGATTTTCTTAAGAACACGCCTCATTCTTGAAACTAATAGCAGAGACCTCGCTGGATCTGTTCTGGGCATTTGTTTTAAGTAAAGTGCAGTGGAAGCAAGTAAATTGAATTTTAAATACGTGTTTTGCCGTGCCTCTACTGCCACAGTAGCAAAAATAATGAGGACCCAGTCCATGGACACAGTACACAGACAGAGCTCTATTTGAATTTATTAAGAATAAGATTTCAGACTAACTGTATGCACTGGTCATACTAATCACTTACTAAAAGCAATTGTAAAGATTTTTAACAGTGACCACTCTGTCTATAAGAACAGAATGTCATAGAGCCAGTAGGTTGAGTATTTACACCCTGATCTGCTCTCACAGAGCTCTCTGCAGGTGAAAGTATGAATGACAAGACAGTCTTCTACATACAGTATTAACATTTTGTTTTATGTGTTTGATTATATAAAATAATATTATTAAAGCAAAAGAAAATTAAACTCCCTGTGTTGATGGGTGTAGATAGCAGCATGTCCTTCCTTCTGCCCTTCCCCTAACCTCATGGCTGTGTGTTTGATTTGAGGGAATATTTGTCCTCTCCTTAAGTGTTGGACGTCACAATTAATTAGTGTCCATTCTCTCTTTGCTTTCAGCCTCCACTGCTTTAATCCCTTCAGGTCACTTCTGTTCTTTCTCCTGTGTATTTTATACCTTTGCAGTTTTGGTGATGTCTGCAAATTTGATTGTAGTTGAAGTTACACCAAGAAATGCTTGTCAGTGGCTTCAGTTCCTTTTTGCATGCACGCCCTTTTCAAACACAGCTTTATTCTGTAGCTATGACTTTGGATTGTTGCAGTCAAAAATTTGGAATTGTAGGACCATCTTTTGTTTTACTGGCATGTGGTCGTCCCCCTGACAGAAGCTGGCTGTCATAAGAGGAGAGGTACTTATCTGTGTTAGTCTGAAGTCAAGGTAGATTTGCACCTCC